TCTTCTGACTGGTTTGGGAAAAAGAGTTTTTTTCAAGAAAACTGGGAAAAAACTGTTTATTTAACAGAAATTGAATAATATTAAAAAATAAAACTTCTTGCTGTTCAATGAGATGGCAAATCCAGAAAAAAAGTCTTTTTCAAGTGGTGTAGCCTGGCTCGCTCAGGTTCTTTTTGGTCCCACTGGCACTGGAAAGCCGGTGGTTCACAGGCCTGAGCTCCGGGGGTTTATCTGCGTTCTCAGTCCAGAGTAGGTTTGAACAGATCCAAGAAAAAGGTAAAAAAAAACAGTCCAGGAAGCTACTCTGCCTCAGCTAGCTAAAAACTAACTAAAAGCAAATGAGAGCTCTGTCCCGCTGCCTGTCCGAGCTGCATACATCACAGTCCAGGAGCAAGATGCAGAGGAGTGAGGGGATCTTTCTCAACACAAACTGCGCCCTCCTTTCCCCCCCGCTTTGTTCTCAGAGCCAGTCTTAAGGGTGCAGAACTTAATATGTAACATAAACAAATCAACTGGGGATATAAGCAGAATAAAGTCACCCCAGGACAATAATATATTTAAAATATATTTATATTAACATCTATACAGATATTAATCATATTATATATACATATATTCATATATATTTACATTACTTATATTTATTTCATTCTGTATATATATATCTATATCTTAATATATTTATTGTATATTTGTATATTGCAGATTTTAAAGCCCTGCCTTTATCCAAATAAAAAACAAACAAGGCTCTATTTTAAATTATATTTAAATAGTTTTCTTAAATTTAGACTTATAGTTTTTATTTGTTATATTTTATATATATATTCATATGCAATAAAGATTAGAATATATTACAATAACTAAATATTACTGATATTTTATGTGTATATTTATTTACATTATTTATATATTTTCTGTTTACATATACATCTATTCTTACCTTTATATATTCCTCTTCAAATTTTTCTACTTTTATGCTTTTTTAAATTTGTATTTGTTTCTACTTTCAACTACATTTTAAACTATATAAATTCATTAACCTAACACATCAATTACAAAAACATAAAGCCTTTAGTCAACACTAGTATGCACTAATCTATATGGAATTTATACATATAAATTTCAATCGCTAAACTTTAATTTGTAATTTATACATAGATGTATTTTATACACCAATTTACATGTAATTAATACATGTGAAAACAAAACCTATTTCTGTTACTGACATAACAAAATCATAACACAAGAGGGAACAGAAAGAGGGCTTCTTTCCAAAGGAATTAGGACATAAATTCCTGTTCTCTGCCCACACCTATAAAACAACCAGGAAAACTTGACAGCTTTTTGTATTCTACATCCACCCCTCCCTGAGAATTTCCTGGCAGCTATGGATCTCTCTGGGAAAGAGCACCCAGCATGTCCTCTCCGCATTTCCCACTCAACTATTCCTCAACCACACGGTGCCTCCCTCTCCCAAGGACCTTGGGGTGCCCCAAATGACATCAGAGCCCCCCAATCTCCACCTGTTCCCCACAGCCTTTTCTGCTCACCCCCAATAATAATAATAATAATAATAAAATAAGCTGTTTTATTAGAGCTCTTTCCATGTGCAGATCACAGCAAAAAAGGAATCCGCTGCAACAATGAAAGGAGGTAGCCCCTGAAAGGGTTGAAGTTCCTCCCAAGCCGTGCAGTCTGCAGCGGGGGTCTCCACCACTTATTTCATCCATCCCCATCTGAAAGAAAGCTAAGACAAAACTCGAAATGCTGGAGGACAACTTCACAGCTCCAGACATCTTGTGTCAACCTAGGAATACCCTCTAGACTCCAACTACACCCTACATTACAAATTTCAAAACACAGGGGCCTGGGACTCGTCCTTTTACACCTACAGCCAGGCTGGGCAGCAGGGCAGAGCAGCTCCGGGCCAACTGCACCCAAGACAACCATGACACACAAGACAACAGACGAGGGGACACAACAGGGAGACAAAGCTCTGGGCAAGAAGGATGGCCTCAAGGACCGAGAGAACGCAGAACGAGATGACCTGGGTGAAAAGGATGGCGAGCCAACAAGGCTCGCAGAAGCTGGGAGGAAGAAGATGCTGACAGAACGGCTTTCTCCAAGTACCGCCAAGACGGATGCCCGAGAATCTGACGGCCACGGTCCTCTACCTATCTTTGCATTTGTTCAAGTCCTAAGCCGCAACAATGGATCCTTGCGGCGCACGGCTGTTGACACAGCTCAGAACAAGACCTCTAAAAGACATCCAATTGGATGCTTTTAAAAGAGAGATGCGATGCCGAGGCCCCTGAGAGCTCCCAAGACAAAGCTTCGACGGTGTCGGCGCTGGGCTGAGGAACCTGGAGGCTGGAGATGTGAGGAGTGATGCCAGGGTTTCCAGTAAGCCTCCGGAAGGGATAAGGCAAAGCATGTACAACACGAGAGGCACAAAAGACACAGAAGGCATGACAGACAAGTGGCATGACACGCCCCATGCTGCTCTGTCCTGCACACCTCAGCACTGTGAGCAAAAATGAGGCTCTCTTCTGCAGGAAGATTTCAAGGACTTTAGCCTTTAATATCACGACTTATTTCAAAGACTGGTTTGTGCAGACAGGCTTTTACTAATATATAAAATATAGCAACACAGTATAGAGGCACCAATACAGAAATGCGTGATTGCGTGAACAGTAGTTTTAGAATCTATAATGTAAACAATGTAAACAAAGTGCATAATGTAAACAATAAAGGGCTTCCGCAAAATCATATTGGTTTGTTGTTCAGAGGTCCACAGCTCCTGCATGCTGGTGACCCTAGCGATGTGATTCTAGCAACATGATCCAAGGGAACACGTTGTGATGACAGCACTGTGATTACGAAGCAGGCTAGACCCTTTGAACTTTGAAGGGGGTCCTGCAGAATGAAAAGGCAGGAGGTCTGGTCAGAGACTGCCACAGCTGGACCATGGCAGTGGGAGGCAGAGGATAGCTCCATACAGGGTTGGGAGGGAGGCTCCCTGGATGAAAGTTCTGGAAAAAATATGCAGATGCTACAGTGGGTACACTGGAAAAGGTGAGCAATCACGGGCTGGAGAGAATGGGAAAGGCTTTGTCAAAGGAAGAATTGGCCACGCTAAACATCCTCCAGTATATTCTCTAAGAGAGCAATTAAATATGACACAGAAGTCCTAAAGGGACTGTTAAAATGGGGTCAGGGGAGATGATTTTTTGCCACCCCCAGGAGTGTTACGACACCCTCGAGTGGGAAAGGCTGGGAGTGATTCTCTGGGATGCTGTGAGTGATGTGTCAAAAGAAGCCAAGGGACTTAGCATAGCATGGAAGTCAATGCTTACGGTGCTAAGTCAGTTAAAAGCAGAGAGAGAAGCACCAGGATTACCCACAGGATGCCCCATGGTATCCCCTGCAGAGTTAACAAAAGTAGCAGGGGGGTGAGTCCCTGCTATCCCCTTTGTCACCCAACTAGAGATGTGTTAGAACAAAGGGATTATTTTTACTAAACTAAAGAGTCTGATAAAATTAAATTCCCAATTCGAAGATTTACTGCTCAAGGTGATGGAGAACTTCACTGAACTTTGGGGCTCTGTTGGTGTTCAGCTTTTTGATCTTGCTGCTGGGAGAGATGGGGTTGCGGCTGTTTCTCGTCAAACGTGCCATGTAATTAATGAGATCTTGTCAAACTGCATAGCTAGCAATTTTATCCCTGGAATTTCTCCTGTGCAACAGCATGTACCATTTTTGACCCACTGCCGAGCTCACACCACCTTTGGCTGCTTGTAATATTGAGTCATTGATTTTAAAAGAATTAAAGATTTTAGGAAAACTACAGATTTTAGTTAGAGATAGGCATTGCTAGAATGAATTAGACTTAATGATTAAGTTAGAAGTAGGGTCTGAAATAATGAATCCCAGACTTAGGTAAAGAATTACCTGTCTTTAAATATTTGCTTAGCTGTGGTTATAGTGAGGAAAGGGAAAATGATAAATAGGCTTAAGAAGATAACAGACCTTATATCTGAAAATCTAATTAAATTCACAAGAGAGGAAAATTGGAGTCCTACCAAATGTCATCTGTAGAAAGGTCAGAGAGAGGAAGAGCGTTCTTTCTTCATCTTCTGACAACCCCTCCTCACAAAAAACAACCCCTTCCTCAACTTAGGGAACCAACCATGCAGGCACAATGACTTTTTAAACTCATTACCATGCATTTTAATACGAAGGAGGGAATAGGAGGGATTTGTGTTATGAATAAGTAGCAGTATTTTGGATACTCAAGACTTTTGTAAATAAATAGACACTGGAATCTTTTGTTAACTTGCAGTATGCATTAAAGGGATGAGCCCCACACTTGCCCAGCACTGTGATTAAAACATACCCTTTCTAACTTTAAAATGTTAGAGAGTTTTCCTTGTCCATTAACAGATTGATATTGAGTCTAGATCAATACTGCTATCGTGGTAAATCAATATTGCATCGGGGGTGGGGGGAAGCCCTGCCCTGAGACTACATTGTACTTGTAGCCAGGGATATAGAGCCCACAAGTGATTCCCTCGACTGCATACATGAACTTAATGGTGTTGGGAATAACAGTCCTGAAAAAAGCAGCAGCCCCCCTAACTTTTTAACTGAAGGTTCGAGTGAAACCAGCTGCAATCCATGGCAGCTGTGCCAAGATCTCTTACAACATTACTGAGCATGCTCCCTTTGAACAAAATGGCGGCACCCTACAGGAAATTAGCATGCAACAAGATGGCGGCCCCCACTGCTGAGCTTGAGCACTGCTGCAGACGCCATTTTGTAACCATCGAGACTGCCGACCTCCCACTGCAGTGCCACCTTTGGCCACTTCCATTATTGCAAAGAAAAGGGAAGATAAAAGTTCTGTAACGAAACACAGGCAGAAGAAACAAATCTACAGGATGCAGCTCAACCATATCCAAACAAAGAACAAAATTTATTTCCTCCAGCTACCAGAGACTCTTTGAATGTTAAATCAAGTGCTCATTCAGAAAAAGCAATCCTGCAAGCCCAACCAGCAGGAAGCCCAGGGGACACATACACAGAAATAAGACAAGGAATATTTGGGCCATTCATTTTATCCATAGATTGCCTCACACAAGCCATTGCTGCAATGCAAACAGAAGCCATCAAAACATGCTTCAACGTGGGAAGCCTGGACACATAAGCAAATATTGCTCAGAGCTCACAAAAAATATAAAGCAACCAAATTGTTGTCTTAGATGAAAAAAGGGAAGACACAGGCTTGGGATCTGACTGTAACGATAATGTACAGTTTTAGGGTGCTCCAGAATGAATAATAGCATCATTCCTTATTCCAGGTGTTGCTGCTGCTCAAGCTTTGACTACACTTAGTAAGTTGGGATGCTGGACAGTCAAGCAATTAAACATTACTTCAGCTGTTTTAAATCAAATGCTCACTGATGTACATAGTATTAGACACAACACACTGCAAAATAGAGCTGCTATAGATTTTTTTTGCTGTTAGCACATGGGCATGGGTGTGAGGATTTTGAAGGAATGTGTTTTATGAATTAATCTCTCTGACCATTCTGCATCTATTCACAGGAGACTCAAACAATTACAAGATAACAGAATAAACTGATTGTGAATGATTGGGGTTTAGATGAATGGTTTAAGGGATGGGGAATAACTGAATGGTTGGAAGATATAGTAAAGGAAACTTTGTTATTACTAGTAGTCATTATTATATTGCTTTGAATTATTCCATGCATAATAAAATTGGTGACTCACTTGTTAGAAAACACAGTAAAGAGGGTTTGGCTGGTGCAAGAAGAAGAAGGGAGAAATGTAGCAATGTAGCTACATTAGGCTGTAGTGTGCCCCAGCCAAACCATCTGTAGAATTTCTTATCAGACCCTCTGGAATTTCTCAAGGTTGCTGCAGCATAAACTGTTCTAGAATAAAAAAGGAGAGGCTGAGAAACAGAAAAACATCACAAGAACCACACAACAGAGGGCAGTTAAACACCTGGATTGTAACCAATCATAAACCTTGAGGAGTGCATGCTGAACGTGTGGATAGTATAGAGGCACCAATCCAGAAATGCGTGATCGTGTGAACAGTAGTTTTAGAATCTATAAATAAGTGCATAATGTAAACAATAAAGGGCTTCTGTGAAATCATATTGGTTTGTCGTTCAGAGGTCCCAAGCTCCCACACACATGCCTTGAGAACAGGAGATCATATCCAAGGATTTCTGAGCTCCTCAGGCACTGTCAGCCACAAATCATGATGCTGAGGAGTGAGTGATCTCCGGCTGAAGACAAGTGCAAGATTCTCTCCTGTCAGCAGCTTCCTGGCTGGGAGTTTGGTACCTTGGGAGGGCCATGGCTAACACAGCCCTTCTGCTTCATGGGAAAGATAAAGCCTTTACTTCACCATTTGCTCTTCACGTGCAATTTAAGGGCCTGCTTTTTCTTGTGGTCCTCAAAAGACACAGTCCATTGATAAAACGGAGAAAAATGCCCCAACCTCTTAAATGCTTTGATAAGCCAAAGGAAACCTTGAGGAGCACACAGTGGGTCAGTGCTGCCTGACCAACCCAGAGGCCTTTCATGACAGAGTGACTGCCTCACTGCACAAGAGCTGAGCTACAGATGCCACCACTCTGGACTTCTGTAATGCTTTGAACACATCATCCCTGCCCTTACACGTCCCTTATTTGGAGAGATATGGATCTGACAGAGGCACAGTTTGGAGAATGACGAATTGGCTGGGTGGTGACATCCAGAGGGTTGTGATCAATGGCTCAGAGTCCTGATGGATGTCAGTGACCACTGATATCCCTCAGGGTGACAGCAAAACCACCCCTGGACACTGGGAACTCAATGTCCTGATGGTGCTGCTGGACAAGAGAGCTGGAGGTGCCCCCCAAACAGAACTGTTAGGATTCCCCAAGTCTTTCAGCACTTGCTCAGTGAATAAGCAGCTGACTGAAGTGCAAAGATACTGGGAAATCACACAATCCCTTCCCTGGGAAGAAATATGTCCCTATCCAAACCTCACCTATCTTTATCCAACTCCAAGGGGAACAGACATATATATACATCTAATAAAGTAACTTCAGCTTTAAATAAAATATCTTTATTTATCTTTTTCATATGAAGTTGTAGTTAGAAAGAAGTTTTATTTTATACAGTTACATTTAGTAAAGACATTAAATAGCAGATGTTTTTAAGGTGTCAAATACTGGAACTGCAGAGAATTCCTCCCTGATTTACATTCATCAGTACCTGCTGTTAGAGAGGCATCAGAAGGTCCTGTCCAGGGGGTGGGAGCAGATGTATGCCCTCTTCTCCAGGATCTGCTTTGCAGCCTTTTTAATGGAATCATCCAAGTTTTCATCGGCATCTACAGAGAAACAGAGAAAAGTCAACTGAAGTACCATAAGGAGTGGTTTTGAACAAATGCAGGTGTGTGAGTGCCAGGAAGAAACTGAACATTCTCTTCTGAAAAAGACTGATTATTACAGACTGAATTTCAGAGAGCCAATGCCCAACTGGTCAGTACTTCCCAAAGACTCCAAACACCTAATTTCTACCAGTTACTTGTCAGGAGTATTTACTACTGATAGATTTTATATTCCTCAAAAAAAGAGCCCTAGCAGTTTGCTTTAGCTATGAAATTAAGAGACTCCTTTCAACAGATTCCAGCTCTTGTTTGAATTAAAAGCAGAGCAAAACTCTTCTGTTGGTCACATCAAACCCACTTTCTTTTGATCACAGTCTGTGAAAGACAGAAGAGTGTAAAAATTATTTTATAGTACTTACATTTTTCTAATTGAGCCATGGCATAATTATTCTTGAAATAGGCTTCTGTGCAGAAGATATTTGTAAGAAGCACCTGGAAAAAGAAGCAAAATTAAGTTAAAAAATGGTGAATTTATTTCATAAACAAAACCACATAGTAAAAATATAGTAATTTCAAATTCTCAAAGCCCTTTGATAATGGAGTCCTGCAGCCCAGTCACGTGCAGTGCAGCCTCAGCTTTCCCTTTGAGCCCAAAGCTGCCAAGGGTCAGGGCTGGGCTGAACCTTCACCCAAAACTGGCTCCAAGACTGATTGGGAGTCAATCCAGAACACGGCTCACACAAAGCAAAGACACAAGGCCAAAGCCAAACCTTCATCAGATTGGATTTGTTTTAACACTGAATTGTAGCAAATTTGCTCATCCTGTAACATCACTGCTACACTTTACCTGAGCTACTAAATAACTACTGTCCTATCCTGAACTGTATTGCCCAAATACTGTTGTAATTATGTGTTATTATTCTATGGAAAGAGCTTGTGAAGAACTGCATGGTGTTAACAGCTTTGAGACAACATGCAGAACTGTGATGAGGTTCTAAATGTTGCTATATGTGTTAAAGAAGTATTTTAAACATGTTGAGAATGTGCAGCTCAACAAGCAGAGCCCCTGAGAGGCACTCTGCACTCTGGCAGGTTTAGCCACATTCTGCTGCACTTTTATGGGAGCGTTTGCTGTAATTCCCAACAAATTCAGCCTGCCTGCTCCCAGGAGCACAGCCTGAGTGGGAATGGCGGGTGATGAAGGATACTCACCTCGTGGTCATGGTTCCTGAGCCCAATGCTGATGGAGCGGCTCGCCCGGGAAATGGCTGCAGTCATTGCATACAAGTTAATCACCACATCTGCAACTCTCTTCAGCACCAGCTGCTCATCCACTATTGTCTGGGACAGTAAAAATCATTATCAGTTTGTGGTTTGTCAGTTTAAAACTTTAACTTTTGTCAGTTTAAAACTTTAACCAAATACCAGTGTCCATATTTCATGTTTAGGTCCAGCTTTATTTTGCATAAATAGGTTCTAGCCTAGGTCAGAAATTACCATAGTTAGTTTTGGGTTAGCTAAGCTGCATCTTTTAACAGTCTGCTTGTAAAATTGTAAAATTGCTGTGCACCTTAAACCACTTTGCCTAATACCTGCAGCAGCAAGATTTATGCTTACAGAAGGAGACTGAAATAACCAATTCACTGAGAGTGCTGGTGCTTAGGTTTTGGTTTTAAAAATGTAACTTGTACATTACACTGAGTACAGAATGTGTGTTTTCTAACACCCAGTGAGAAGGTGTCATGTGAAGGAAGTGCTGGGTCCTGCCACACTCAGTCCCCTGCAGGTCCCAGTGGTGCCCCAAGGATAAACTATTCAGGAACAAGAACAACAGACAAAACAGTTACCTTGCCAAACCTACTTAGCAGGCCCCTGACTGTAGTTCCAAAATAATAAACGTTTTCTTCAAGTTTCTTGGCACTCTCCTATAAATCAAAAGAGAAAAAACAACAATTTGAGTGGTTTTATAAAAGAAAAGCAACATACCCACACCCACTTCAAACAGGATGCTGGATTTTCTCTTTTTCAACATTCATCCACTTTGCTACTGAAAGCCAGAAAGGCATTATTCTTTCTCTCAAACATGCATTAAAATTTTCTGGAGTTTAGTCTCAGTAACTTTCAGTATAGGCTTATGCTGACAAAAGTAACTAAGAGAACATCCCATGAAAAATGTACTTTATCTTTTTGCTATTAAGAAAACATTCAGTTTTGGTGCTAAAACCTTTTTTCCTAAGTGATTAAGCAACTAGGTGTATGTGCAATTCCCAGAAATTCTTACCTGAAACTCTGTTACAATTAAACAGGAAAAACTATGTTTTGTAACTGATCTTACAACAAAGGGCACTATTACAGACATTTTAATATAGTGAAGTCTCAATTTATACAAATTACCCAAATGGACCAAAATCTAGATTTGGTATAAACACAGGCTTAGAGCAGCCCTCATCTTCCCTTGATACCTGCACAATAACTGCAACTTCTTACCCTGACATGCTGCCAACATCTGCTTACACTGGAAAATCTCACTGCTTCTAAGAACACATTTTGGTTGCAAAACCAGGGGATTAAGATGTGGCAAGCAGCAAAAGGAACAAACATGAAATCTCAGCACTGAGGCCCTTACCTGGAGGCTGGGATGCACCACCCCACGGTCACCTACAAGCCCCAGATCCACCTTCCTGCCCAGGGTGTCCTGTAACCTGGTCAGGAACTCCCCCAGGGCCACTCCCATGTTTCCTTTCTTGATTGAGCTGAAATGTTGGGGAAAAAGTGGCTGTTAAGGAAATTCCAGGAGGTTCAGACATAACCAGTTGTAATTCCAAATACTTTAGCAGAATGCTTGCAGTTTGTCCACGAATTACCAAGTCTCAATCCATTTTACTGTGAAGTCTGGAGAACAACTGTGGTGCCTTCGGAGTCATCAGCTGCTCTCCAAGACACCCACAAGGAATTCCAGAAACCGGTACTCAATACGCACAATGCAGCTGTTGTGCCAATACAACTTAATTCAGATACAAATATTCATTATTGGTCTTGAAAAAAATAATTATACTTTGTGTAAAAGTCTAAGATAAAATGTGTTAAATGCTACAACTCTTAAATCTATGAACAATCCCATTAGAAGATGAAGAGCCCCTGTAACACTGAACTTTTACAGGCAATAAACAGAAAATAGTGCAGGTTTTCCCTAGAGTTTCTTCTCTTATCTATAATGTTATCAGATTCTGTTTAGTTTATTAAAAACTATTAACAATAAATAAGAACATACTTAATTTTGTCAGTTAAGATCTTCCCTGCATGCTGCATCCCTGTCAGTGCAATGTACATTCTCAGGATTTCATTGGTTCCCTGGAAAAAACCAGAAGTGAGACAAGTGGGTAACCAGAGTTTACAATACTGTGCTTTCCAAGCTGGTCTGTTGTGCCCTTCCCACTGTTCCAGTATCACATGATGACTCTCCCCACACATAAATTGCTGCCTTTTGCTTTATCTGTTTTAATTCTGATTTCATGGGGTGTTGCAGAAGTCAAGCCCCTCATTATTAAACACACAAATGTATCACAATGTAAAGGAAACCAGACTAAATGCATTTTGAGTGAAAAAAGTTCTGCCCCGTTCCAGTAAAGGAGCCTTTAAATAGTTGTAGAACTGCTCAACATGAGCTGAGTTAAAATCAAGTCTGGCAGTCACTCTGATGTGCACATGATGGATCACTGACAATCCAGCTTGGAAAGAGAACAAGTTTCAGAAACAACCTTTCCTTGACTATAGATCCCCAGCAGTAAGTTAATTAAACTTCTAAGTTGATCTTTTGTGAGTTCCCCTACTTCACTTGTTAGAAGCACACAGGAAGAAAGGTTACTGCTGTAACTCACACTGTGGTCAGTCTATAAAAGCCATTATTTTATTATGGGAAGCTACTATTGATATTCCAAAGAAAACAAGGTTAGTCCTGCAGTCTTACTCTGTAACAGACTTTGCAGTTGAAGGAACGAAGTCCTGGTCAATCAAACCTCACCTTTATAAAATGTGTCAAGTGCAGTTTGCAGTAAAAACGGGATCCTGGTACTTGCCTCGAAGATGAGCAGGATCCTGGTGTCCCTTAGGTAGCGCTCATAGGGATAATCCTTCATGTAGCCAAGGCCTCCAAGGATCTGCAGAGCCTCACTCACACATGCCCAGGCCCCTTCAGAGCTGAACACCTGCCATGGAACAGGGTTTAATCACCAGTGAATAGATAATAAATCAGCAGTAAACACAGCATGCTCAGCTCTGGGGTTGTACCTACAGCACACTGCTGCAGTATTTTCTGTGTGTTACACCTGTCCTGTAAACTCACCTGGAAAAGTCTCCTTGTGGCTCAGGGGGTTTAGTCAAACTCAAACTGTGTCCTTGCAATGCACAAAGCAGTCTTCAAAAGGGCACATTCAAGGGAAAGGGGCAGCTCCACACGAGCAGAGCAGCTGTGGCTGCTTGGCTGGAGCCCAGAACAGGAGTTTTCTGCAGTGACCACAGCATAAGGGACACCCTGGCAGCCAGAGCCTGGATGTTCCACAGGGTTTGTTCTGTCACCAGTTCCCTGGGAAAGCTGGCACAGCAGCAGCCTGGCCAGGCTGGAAGCTGAGGTGTTAACTGAGTGTCCCTGTGCTCAAATGAGGCCTCCTCAGACCCCAGCTCAGGAGGGCTGTGATATTCCCAACCTGCTCTCTGCAGGTTTTATTTCATACGAGTCTGAGCTTGTGGGGTTCAGACAGAACAGTATCTATGATCTCACCTGGCTGCAGTGCTTCTCTCACCTGTCTAAATGTGCTGAGCTCTCAGCCCTCTGCAGACTGAACACAGAGCCCTTCCCCAGCACTGCTTACCTTGACCATGGCAGCCTCCACAGAGCAGTCAGGGAAGCCTGGCCTGTCCATCATCCCTGCAGTCAGGTAAGCCATGCTCTCCATCACATAGGCTTTCACAGCCATTAAACAAAATTTCTCCTGCCAGGCAGCAACATGAGGAATCATACAGAAATTCAGATGCAAAAGTCCATAGTCAACCCACAAACTTAAAAAAATCTGCAGTTTTTATATGTTTAACATTATCAAATTAATCAATAAAAAGTACCACTTCAAAACAACAATGAACAAAACATACTTTTATACATATTTACTTTTTTTTACATTTACATATTTTTTACATATTTTATACATATTTATCATTCTAGACATTTGAAAGATCAGTGTACAACAGTCAGCACCAGGTACCAGGTTCACACAAATTTCTAGCAAATCCTTTAAACCGGTACAGCCAAAATAACCCAAATACAAGCTATGTCCTGGCACTTAGCACAGAGATTTAGGTGTTTAGGTTTTTGTTACCTGAATTAATCCAAATTGGCTGAGTTTCTTATTGAATTGTTTCCTGGTACAAGCATACTCTGATGTCAGCTCTTTAAAAAAAGAAAAACAAATCCAGCTCAGAAGGGCTGTGACATTCCTGCTGCTGGTGTCTTTCCCTGGATGGTGACACTCCAGTCTATGGCCAGGAAACCCCTGGCTGCTCCAAAAGCAGCACTTTGTGAAAAACTCATGGTGTTGATCAAGTCTGGGACCAGCCTGTTAAAGGCTTTTGAACCAGAGGTGTGAATTGTACTCTTAGAGAAGTAATCAGTTTTGGTGCTAATTGATTACAGAGACTTCTGTTACTGTTTTGGCTAATTATTGGCAGAAAACAGTTTTATTCCTAATTACTGTGTGTAGCATTGAGCCAGTTATTCAGGTTCTAGGGGAGATTACACCTTCTAAAAGCAATAGTACAGAGGTTTTTTTTGGGAAGAACATTTTTCCTCAGGGAAGTCCAACAGAAGCAATAACCTCCCACTCCATAAAATGAACCTGCACTGTATGAAAGGAAAAGAATCTTTATTTCAAAACCTTTGCAAACAGGCTTTTAATAACTATTTTTCAGAATGGTATTTTAGTATTTTAAAGATGCCAAAGCATGTTATGACAAGATCAAGACTCCTGTTCCCACTCTGAGTGTACTGCATTATCTGTCTCAGTCAGAGCTGTTTCTGCTGGCACCCAGCCATCCAGAGCACCCAATTCACCCACCTATCAACTTCTTAATCATTCCAGCAGATGCACTGCCCATGCTAAATCTTCCACTGTTGAGGATATTCATGGCAACCTGTGAAGAAAAGATGGGGTTTAGGCCACATTCTCCTTAGGCCATGCTGGTCACTATTTCCTGCTTCAGTATTCCCTGGATTTCACTCTTCACTGGGACATGCTTCCAGTCCTGGGAAGTGCCCTCACATCAGCCACCACAGCTCTCAGCATCCCAAGGAAAATGCTTCAAAACTGGCTATTTCCTGCCACCCATTACATCCAATTTTATATCTGAAGCAGATGATATAGGAAATAATCTCTATTCTAATTAGAAGAAGGTAAAATGTAGATAAAAATGTATTTATCTGCAGCTGGTAAACAACATTCCAGCTAGTCAGCACTGCTCCAGTTTAGCAGATGAGGAAGAAAACCACAATATTTCTCCCTGCAGTTGACCTGAGATGCTTGCTCTCTGCCTCAGATTCCTTGCATCAGCACACCACAGAAAGGAACAAGAATGGAAGTGTAGAAATGAAATACAAGACCAATAATGCACAAAAACAGATTTTGTACTCTGGTGCTGTTTCTCAACATGGGTGACTCAGGTCAAAGCCTGTTCAGAAAGAAGTCACTGTCCTACGTTTTAACTTGTCAGGAAGACACCATAAAAATCTTCTTTTAATCTCCATTACATTAAAGAAGATTATTTAATTTAGCATTTAGACCTAGACTTGCTTGCTACAGCAGGAGTAAGAAGTGGAGAAGGAGTAAGAAGCAGCTTGGGCAATCTCAAGGTCTCACTCTCAGAGAAAGGTTACACAGCAAGGCCACCTGTGGTATCTTTCCTGGGGTCCTGCCAGCATTTCCTTGTGCAAGAATCCAGCCCTGGAGAAGCACCTGACAGCCATGGCACCTTGGGCCTGGGCTTGCCTCCAGCAATTGCCTGTGATACTCATTCCTCTGTCTCCCTTTCCACATTCTGCTGGAGGAACCAGCAGATGACATGTGTCACATTCAGGTCAGAAGGGCAGCTGAAATCACTCCCTTTTCTGAGGGGACCCCATGAAAAACAACCAAAAGCCCAAAAAGAAGAAACACACAGAAATCTGAAGTGATGGCACACTGTGCAGTGTCCAGTGACACCAGTCCTCCAGCACTCTGCAGTGTGGCAGTGCTCACACCATCCATGAGGAAACTGCAGTAAAGGGGCAAAACAGTCTCCCTCAGGCTTTTAAAAATCACCAGTAGTTATCCTTCACTGCTTACCTTAAATCCCCCTCCAACTTCTCCAATTACATTCTCTATAGGCACTTTGGTGTTCTCAAAATGTACTTCACAGGCTGAAACACAGAATTAGCACTTAATCATATATGACACAAAAGTATTTAGAAGACATTCAAGAACTTAAATCATTATATGTAGCAAGAAATGCAGTCTTCTTAATGCATTGTTTATGACAGAATTACACATGCTTTGTCAAAGAAGTGAGAATTTGGGAAAAGGCTGTAGTTGACATCAATTACTGATATAAAATATTTTAAATGTTATGAATGTACACTGTGTAAACAGAGAACTACAGTTTTGTCTTTATTTTGAGTTCTAAGGAACTGATTGAACAGCCACCAACACAGTGAAAAGCTGCAATCATTAAAAAGCTTAGAAGAGCTGGTGAAAGTGGACTTCTAGATTAAACCTATTGGCCACTCAATCTCCTGAGTGATGTCTTTCACTGCACAGTGAATGAACTCCACAAAATGTATTTGTTATTTCAGACCATGCATCATGAAGGACTCCTAGGAAAAAACAGCTAAAGAAACATGAAACTTGTACTGTAACATGGAATAAGTATTGATTTGCCTCCGAATTCAGATGATTCAACCAAAATAAAACATTAAACTATTAAGACAATTTCTGCTAACAGTTTTAGGTGATTCTTACTGTTGGAGCCTCGAATGCCTAATTTATCCTCGGGCTTCCCATGGGTGACACCCCCAAAGTCCCGCTCCACGATGAAAGCAGTGATTTTATCCTTCACCTGCCCATCCTTGTCCACAACCTCTGTCCTGGCAAACACTGTAAAAATACTTGCCAGGCCACCATTGGAGATCCAGACCTGTTTTGAGAGAGGGAAGATGTGTAAAAAATAAAACTGTGCTGATTTTATGAGCAGAGTTCTCACGGGTTTTGTAACAGGCTGGGCAAAGAACAGAGTGCTGAAAAATTGCTGCTCCTTCCCTTCAGTTCTAATGAGTGTCTGCTTCCAGTGTGAGCACATTTCTGAGGAGAGCTGACCACACATAGTAAGTTTAGAGCAACTTTAAAACCAGAATGTAGTACAATATGCATTAAATGAAAATCCACAGTGCATTCCTACAAAAGCTAGTACATCCTGCTGCTAATGGCATGTGAGAGATACAGGGTCAATGCAGACTGGACAAACCCTGTGCCCAAAAATTAACTCTGATGAGAAATTCTCTCATCAGCCTCTCCCCCAGGGTGGGCCTCTTCGCACCACAAATGGATCAACAATACAGGTCAAGTCTGCAATGCACCCAGTACTGCTGAACCCAGAACATCTCTAATTTCCTCAAGACTGGCTTTTGACACTGTTTCTTTTAGAAGAAAGGTTCCAAACAGTCCTATTTCTAATTAAATATCAAGTTTTCTTTTAAAATCTAGCCTGAAGAACGATGACAAAATACAGGTTTAGGTTTTCTTTTACCTAAGCTGTCAGGAAGGGGGCTGATTTACCAACTAACCAACCCTCCCTGAAGCTGAACACACAAATGGGTGATTAGAGAAGGAACCTGGAGTGGTTTTCTATTTTTCTTACCAGGAGTTTAATGCAGTAATTCCCTAACAATAATGTTCTCTTGTCTTTGTGCCTAAACCAAGGCACATGGTCATTTTCCTCAAGCTTGGAAACCACCCAATTCCAGACTGATGCAAAAGTCAAGGACACTTCCTACACTTGTAACAAAAGCCTTTCCCACTCCCAGTCTGTAAGTAGGTACCTGTCACCCTGGGACAGTACCTTGGAGCCATTTAACAGGAAGTGTTTCCCATCTTCACACAGGGTTGCTCTTGTCTGGATGGATGCAGCATCACTCCCACTAGGAAACAAACAAGTTAATAATGTTTAAAGAAATAAACATGCTTTAAAAAACCAAAACTGCATATTCTCTCTCGTCCCATCCTTTAAAAAGGAGGGGTTCTTAAATAGCAGTGTATCAATTTTAGCTTTTAACTAACAAGGAAGCTCACTAGATTGAACAGCTCTGAAAATTACCTGAGGGGACATTTTTGCTCATTGCTATGTTATCAGCGTTATGACCTGACCAGAAGGTGCAGAATGCCACAAAAGCAACTTTTTGGAGCTACACTTTGAGCTATGTGAAGACACAATGAGCTTGTCACTTAAGTAGCACCCAAAATTCTTCCTTTTAGTTTTGGTAAATTTTGGCCTTCAATGCAGGCAATATTTTGCAATATTTGAAGAAGAACTGAAAGCATTCTATAACAGTCACAGCACGTTATTTCTGATGTAGCACAAAGCATCCTTTCAATTTATGGAAGAAATTAAGTAAATGAATTCCTGGGATGAGAACAACAAGAGTCAGGGATTTAATGGACACTGCCAAAAGCAGCACATTGGGAAAGAATAACACAGTCTGGAGCTTTTTTGTGAAGTTCTTTTAAAAACTAAAAATACACCACAGATTTGTATATTGAAGCCACAGGCCCCAAATAATGAAGATTTAAGCTATTAAGCAATGCAGATAAAGCAGAACTCCAGCTGGATCTGTGGGGGCAGCAGCACCTGCCAGGCTCGGTGAGGCAGAAGGCAGCAATGTGCTCCCCCGAGGCCAGGCGGGGCAGGTACTTGGCCTTCTGCTTCTCAGTGCCAGCAATGAGGATCCCCTGCAGAAACAAGCACAGAAAACTTTGCAGCACCACCCTGTGGGAAGAGAGGGAGCTGACAAGCTTCAGCATGTTCAGAAAGCTTCATTTGCAAGTTTTGTGGCACAGTAAGAGACAGTTTAATAAACAAAAGACTGTATTATTTATCAGATATTAAAATATTTTTATTAGCATTGTCTGCTCAATTCCACGAGGAATTTTCTCTTGCTATAACAAACTAAGTGTGGTTTCAATCTTCTTTCTGCCATCCATCCACCACTAAAAGGTAAATACCAATAGGTGGATAAAAGCTCAAAATTGACACACTTGCTCTCAGATGAATTTTCTCCGCTAGGCTCCCAAACATGTAGCCCCAGCCAGCCAGCCAGTGTTGCTTTCTTCTGAATTCTTTCCTTCCTCATCACCTGAGCCCCCTGACCCTGTCTATTTCAATTCTATTTATTCTAGCTACTTTAAACAGCTTTGGTTTAAAAAATAACAACTTGGGATCCTTTAAAGTAGTTTTCCTAAGAATAATTATCCTAATAGTAAATTTATTGTGTACCTCCTATCCAGCCTTTCCATCTTACACTGAACCAGAGGCAGAGGCTGCTGGGGACACCACAAACCTGATTTAGGCTTCCCCAGTAGTTCTGATTTTCTCCCTTCAAGCTCCACATTTTTCACTCCACCTTTTCCACGCAATTTGTTCAGAAATACTGGCCCTAGAGCAGCAGCATTACCTTCAGCCCAATGGCCTGATGAGCTGCCAGGGTCACTGCAATGGAGCCATCCAGGGATGTGATTTCTCCCAAACGTGCATACATGGTGTTTGACAGGCCTAGCCCACCTGGAACAGGCACCAGATTTTATTTTAATATGTTTAACATGCCCCTTTCCCCCCAAAAAAATCCATTTCAAGTACAGAAATACAGGAATGCAAGAGCTTTAATTGGAGAGCTAGAAAAGTGACACAAAATGCATCCCTAAATGCACTGGGTTGTTCTTCTGTGACATTTACTCACCATATTCCTCTGGAATCTGCATGCCAAAGAGACCCAGGTCCTTCAGTCCTTGTAAGGTTTCAGAGGGGATTTTTGCATCTTGATCGATTTTCTTTGAGTCTACTACAAATACAGAAATTTTTCTCATTTAACACTGTGTTTCTTAGTGCCTAGAGCAGCCGTGAGACTGCAGGATTCCCCCAGCAGGGCCAAGGTCACTGATGAGACTTCTCATCCCCAGCTTCACAAGAATTTCTTCTTTCTAGCTTCAGCCTGACTTTCCTGGTTGTCCTCACGACATATTCAGGAAAAGACTTGGAACTGGGAAAAACCCAGCATTTGAGAAAATGCTCATTTGAGAAATTTGAGAAAATTTCTCAAACATTTCTACTGGTTCTGCATGTCAGCACATTCCAAGACTAGAATAAGCAAAGTATTTACAGAATTTTCCATCTGAACCAAGTTCTAGGTTGTGAATACAAGAAAAAAATGTATGTAAATGAGGAATCTTGTTCTTTGGAGTTTTTAGATTCTTGGGGGATTAAAAGAGCTGTTCTGTACCATGGTAGTGAAAACAAACAGAAATCATACTTTCTCCACACACTATTATTTGACCCTTTTATTCCTCCCCTAAACATCAGGTTGTTTACTCCATAAATTATGTTCCCCCAGAGAGCAAAGAACTAAAAAATATAATTTGAATAAATTATTTATTTACTGTTGGTGAGCAACACTACAATTTTACAGTTAAAATCACCTGGATCTCACAAATTGTGATGTGTGACAATCACTGGCTTCTCCAAAGTCCTACAGTCTTTGGAAAACCAGGGCTGGGATCTCTGTCAATGGGAAGTCTGAAACAATGCTGTTTAACTGCCTCAGAAATTGCTGTCCGTGCAAACCAATATTCTGCAACTGTTCTGGAATTGGCTTATCCATGGCAGCACTAATGGAAGGAACATCCTGCAATGCCCTCTTAAATGCAGGTGAGTAAGGCCTTTCCCAAACAGAATTATTACTCTAATGCTGAAAAACAGAAATTGTTTTGATTTTTCATAAGTCCTCAATGAACCATCATTTCTGAATATCTGTGCTACATTTTGCCATAGTCAGTTTTAGCAGAGTAGGACAGATAAAAAGCTATAGGAAAAAAAAAAAATCACAATATATGAAGTGGTAAAAAGCACAATTCAGCTGAGCTAAAATCGACTTCAAATCCTATCTTTATCCCAGAATACTTCTACATCCTTGGTTTTCTTAATGTTTTGGAGATTTAATTCTTCAGCAGCCAAATACTCCCCAAAAAGCTATAAATGGACATGCTACAGAATCAGCATCACTGTGTGAGCAGCAATAAATGCATAAAATGAATTAAATGTTTTAAGTATAATAATCTTATTCAACTGCTATAACTAAATCCTTTTGTAATCACCAAATCACTTGTATGGATAAAAACATAATAATATACCTTCTTCATTGAAGAACTTTTCGACAGGTCCCACAAACTGGTTGATCTCTGCCAGTTCTTCATTACTAATTTCTGGGTATGGAAAGACTTCTTCCTAAAATAGGAGAATTATTTAAGAATTTTTAAGACATGAATCATGCAGCTGAAGTAAAAATTATGGGAGATACGCCCTGCAAAGACTCTAAAAAAATGTGCAAATTAAGAATTGTGGAAAATACTCCAAAACAAAAACAGAGCTCCACAGGACTCAACACAGCAAAAATCGACCAGAGGGTGCTACCTGAACAACAGAAATATTAAGGAGAAATCAAGAGATTTTTTAAGAACTAGAATAATGCAAAAATCCTTCACCACTCGTGAGCTTTGTCAGTGTAACCCTATTTAGGGATTGATAAAAAATGAGTTTGTGTCAAAATCAATGAACTGTTCCAATGTTTCCAGAGTCCATGAACATTGTCCCTTGCAAACACCCAGCACGCTTCACCTGTTAATGCCTGGAGAACAAAGGGGAGTGAGTCCCACCACTCCTTATCATCACCAGGATTTTCTGGCCATAAACTGGGAGCAGCATGGCCCGACAGCTTTGAATTGATAAAAAATCCAAGCAAGGAACACACAAAGTGGGAAGCTGTGTTAGAAGCACACTGCTAATTTTTTACTGCCTCACCCCTTTTAAACAGAAGAATTTATCTGTGTCCACACAAATCTGTTCCTGATACCCTGAGCAATAATATCAGCATCAAAAATTCAGGACCTGGGAAATGCTAGAGGTTTTCAGAAAGCTGTTGTACTGAAATTTGAGAGAAAGAACACCCCAGACATATTTGAAGAAGGATTTAACACAGTGGAGCCTGAGTACTATCTGTTGTAACACTTTACCTGACAAGCTCTGTTGCAGGAGACTAGTGCTCAACTCATTTCAAGTGGATTTCAGCTATTCCTTCTTTCAGTTTCCTTCACCCTGCAACCTCTGATGAATGCACACTCTAAGCCTTGCATTAACAAACTGCTTAATACAGTGTTCTAGCTCAGATTTTAAGTTCTTTGTCCTGTGGCATCTCAAAGCATGACAAGAATTTCAATCTTTCCTATCAAAACTGTAGGCAGAAATTTACACAAAGTCTCGACCTTTTAAGTAAAAACAGCAAATAAAGTGATACAAGTTTGTGGCATGCCCAGAGAGTGCCGCAGAAGGACATGTTTGCAGAGGGAATCTGTGTGAGATGCGTCTACGAGAAGACACAGTCTCAAGCTGCACCAAAGAAAATACAGGTTGGATATTAGGAAGAAGTTTTTTATAGAAAGAATGATAAAGTACTGGAATGGTCTGCCCGAGGAGGTGGTGGAGTCACCATCCCTGGATGTGTTTAAAAAAAGACTGGATGTAGCACTCACTGCCATAGTCTAGTTGTGGTGTTAGGGCATGGGTTGGATTCGATGATCTGGGAAGTTTCTTCCAAACTGGTCATTCTACTGGAAAAAAAAAAACCACATAAATTGTGGGGCTGCCAAGCACAGGGGGCTGTGGCTTAGCTTAGGTTATATGGGCCATTGAGAGCTCCATGGCGTGCTTTGTGTGCAAAGGGGTCACTTCAGCTGGCACGGCTCCCGCTGAGGGCCCCTGCGCCAGCTGGACCCGGGAACTACGGGACAACCAGGCCACGGGCCGGCTCCTGCCGTGGGCTCGCACCAAGCCCTGCGGCCCCAGGTCGGGCATGAGCGGCTGCAAAAGGCCCTGGGTGTGCTGGTGACGAGCCCGGGCGGGCGATGCGCCCGGCCTGTACCAGGCCCACCGCGGCCTCCCCGCTGTCCGTCGGTGAAAGGGCCCCCGGGTCGGCCCCATCGCCGCCCCCATCCCCGCGGACCCACCTTGCGCAGGGTGCCGAGGAACAGCTCCTTGGCGAAGGCGCGGCGGGGCGCGGCCGTGCGCAGGCCGCGGGCTGTGGGGCTGGGCCGAGAGGCGCGCAGGGCTCGCAGGAGCCGTAGAACCCCACTCATGGCCGCACTCGGCGCTCGCTGACGGCACTGCCGAGCGCCCGGCTCGGCCCCGGGGCGGGGCACGGCCTCACCGGGCGGCGCTTCACTCCCAGCGACTGCCGGGACGGCGACACACCCCATCACGGCTGAGCCGCGGGGAGCGCGGGCGCGGCAATAAAGATACTTACGGCTTCCCTTGCCCGGCCCTCCCCTCCCCGGCAGCTCCTGCGTGAGCCGCATGGCCCTACCGAGAACAAGCTCTTGGTGTATCCAGGGTGCCTTTGAATGGCCTTCCTGAAGCGAAAGCAGCGGTGCAGACCTGACGGGGAACAGCACTACAGAGAGGCATCGCTGCATCACCGCGTGGATCTGGTGGAGACGCTGAGCTGCAAGCCGAGCGCATGGAAATCGCCCCAAAATCTCCAGCCGAGTCTTAACTCCCCCTGCTCCGTGTGTCAGGAGCCGGAGCAGGGTGGTGCCGGCAGCTCCTACAGCCCTTTCCACACATAAAGGAGTGCCAAAGACACACCACTGTGCTCTGCTGCCCTGCACCAAGCATTCCCTTTCCTCCTTGGCTTTCCCCTGCTATAGCTCTGGCAGCAGGTTTTGTCTTTTTTAAAATCCCAAGTGCCATACCCGTGTGAGATTACTGAGCCGGTTACCCTATGAGAAATACTGTTGTTGAACCAAAGTTATTCACTGTTGATATTTGTTTGATTGGTTGTTGAAGTTTTTTTAGTGCCTTTACCCCGGTCGCTTTCTCCCTGCCTGGTTACTTTTCCCCTACATTTTATCCTCTTCGCGTCGGGTAATGCCTCCACTGCTCCCCGAAATGGCGCCCGTGGCTGTGTACAAACAAGGTTGGACTTAGTGCTGCTGGGAGACAAAAACCCCTAATGACAACGAGCCAACAGGAAAATAAAGGACCAAAAGGACATATCCCGGCAAGCTAAGAAGGAAGACCATCTTCCTACACCATCTGAGCCTGATTAAAAGGTATCGCCATGACCCAACTGGAAAAGAGTGACCCCCCTGGACAAGGAGGCGGAGGAGCAGTTTTCCTAGGGACTCCCGTGAGGAAGGAAGGAAGGAAGGAAGGAAGGAAGGCTCAGTTCGGCGCTAGTGACAAAGCTGCACGAATCCTCTGCCTTCGTCCAGGGGGAGCAGTGCTGGCGTGTGCAACCCCTCGGGCCCCCACCCCAGAGCTGTCTTTTTAATAAGGGCCTTTTAAAAGGAGCAGCTCTCCTGGCCTGTGTTATATATGAGCGGCCAACTTGATTAATAAGAAGAATTTATTAAAATATACAATCATAAAAAGCCACAAGCAAAATTCGATGCTGTACCAGGCGAACAGCCTCAGGTGAGGCAGGGAGGGGCTTGCTAGCACCGCTTCACCATGCTTCACAAACTGCAACTGTCTCAGGGTGCTTTTTATATGTTTTCAGGCTCTTCGGGGGTCTCTTGGAATATGCTTCTTGCAGACAAATATTCATGTTGTTTTGGGTGTATATGTTGTAATCTTGTCGGGTTTCTTGGAAATACACTTCTTGCAGATGAATATTCATGAGTTATAATCTTATCAGACGGAGGTTTCTTGGAAATATGCTTCTTGCAGATGAATATTCATGTTGGCCTTGCTGCATATCACCATAATCTCATCAGAGAAGGTTTCCTGGAAATATGCTAGGATTCTTATCAGACAAGATTATAACTTTAGCATGAATTTATTTATGCTATGTATTACACCTGCAACCTGACACTGAAATCTGCTTGAGAAGCAGTCACTGCTGCCCCTTTGTATGAGAGGGCACAGTCAGGTTTGTGGCCTCATCACCCCACAGCTTCTGCCTCACCTGCAGGTGGCTGGGACTGGTGCTCACCCACACAGAAGGGCTTTCTCTGTGCTAAACTTAATTTACTCAAGAGTAGAATTAATTTATTTGAACTATTTCTTTCAAATAAAATAAACCCCTCAAAGGCTGCTGCTACTTTGTCATTTTCGGGCATCTCCATGTCCACCTGCCCTCATTTTGCTTTGGTCTGCGTGCAACTGCAGAATGTGACAAAATGGCATTTACAAAAAGAACAAGTAAACACAGTCTTAATGAACTCTCTTATTTTGCTTCTTTTACTTATGACTTGTAAAATTAAAATCCTTTAATCTTGTAATCCAAATAAATTGCCATGTTGGTTGCCTCTCAACTGTACTGCAACTAGGGAACAGGAAGGGCTAAGTGAGGGGATAGGAAAAGGTAAGGATGTGCTCAGCTATGGTTGAGTAACATTGTCCTACTCCTTTTGTTTTGAAGGGTGGAAAAGCAAGAGGTGATGTCTACTTCTGCCAGAAAACAATGGGTGAGGAACGCTGAGCTGAGTGGAGCACTTTCCAATCTTTGGGATGCAGTGATGAGATGTCAGGGTCTCTATAGGGTATCCACAAGTGGTTGATGCTATGGATAGAAAGGGAAAAACCTCAGCCTCATGACACGTGGGGTTAATGGGGCAGAGCCACACAATGTCGCTCTGAGGGGACGTGGGTGGCACTGCCACAGCAGTGCCACATTCCAGCTCTGGGCAGAAGACACTGTCCTGGGCTCAGGAGAGGTGTAGGTCTCACAACACCTCCTAGACTGAATATAAGGGATGAAAGGGCTAAACTGAGGCCATCTCCTGAGACAAGTCAGGCAGGTCCTGGTGATGTAGGGGTGACGTGGCAGCTTGAAAGAAAGGATAAAGAGAGCACGGTAAAAACTTCTTGAAGAAAATGATCCAAACAGTGAAAAACAAGACTGGGCAGTTGGGAAGCACAGGGAAAAGCTGCCTCATCAGGAAGTTCAAAAGCACACCCCACCCTAAGTGTTCATTCAACAAGCAGGAGGATAGCACTGTGAGCATATTCTAAATAAACACCTGGAGTTTTTCCAGTCACAGGAGATGATATCACACCTACAGCATGAAACTGCAGGCAGACCGTCACTGGCACAGAGTCCTCTGCTCCTGCACTGGCACCAATGGTGCCACACTTCAGATTTTGTCCCATCCATGCAACCCTTCCAGTGCTGTGTGTAACCACAGCTGAAATCACACTCCTGGCAGCTGTGGTTCTCTGCAGAAACCCCCCATCCTGACCTGATATATCTTCAAACTGCCTTGCACAGAACTGCAAAATCTAGTGGGAAAAAAAAAAAAAATCAGTATTTTTGCCTTCTGCTTCAGCAACATGCCCAGCCTTTTCCTTTCCCCACTTTTATTCTATGTGTTCCCATCACTTCAAATTCCCTTCCTGGGCCAGCTAATCCCTCAGCTGTTACAGCTCCTCATAAGGCACATTTTGTGAACAACCACAACTCCCACAGTGATGTCCGTTTCAGCCCATTCCACACAGAATTTCTTCCTGAGAAGGAATTAATGCAAGAGAAGTAGAGATCAGCAAAAGACTACAATAAAATTACCCTTCAGTTTCCTTTTTATTCTTCCATATTTTTCCAGCAGCTGTGAGATGCCCCCTGCCCAGCGAGGCAAAGATTTAGTTTCAGATAAGCATTGTTAAAGTGAGTAGCTTTAAAGCCCAGGAAGTCTGAATTCCATTCCTCTGCCTCAGGGGATAGGCCCCTGAGTCAAGGAAGAATTGCCCCACCCTGGACCCCTTGTGGGGAGGCAGTCCAGGGTGTTCTGATTGGGTTTGAGCCCCTGAGGATTCTCCCTTGTTCTGTCCTTATTAGTCCCTGACCTTAAACTCCACCCTGGTTCTGTCCCACAAAACCCATGTCCCTGCCTCTGTTTGGGGCTCTGTGTCACTGCATCTGAGTTCCTGTGTTGAATAAAGGGTTTCCTGAGCAGAGCCCATCTTGCTGGAGTCCCATGCCGGTCACCAGCAACTGTACCCTCCCTGGACCTGATCCTGCAGCCCTGGACTGCAACAAATGGTGCAGAATGTGGGCAGGCAGCGAGGCACCAGGAGAACAGCACCACCAGATCCACAGACACCCCATAAGTGCCCCGCTGATGGCTTGACAGCCGGCAAGACTCCCACTTTATAAAGGAGGATTCAAGTACCTGGCAGGAGGGCCAGTTCAGAGTGCCTCAAGGGCATGGGGGAAAACGGCTTACAGGGGAGGACCAAGACCAGGTGATGGGATAAACATCTACCATCACCCAACAAGATGTATTATGGACGGTTTTCTTTTTTTTATACATGGGAAGGACTTTTATGGATGATAGGAACAGTATGGATGATATGGATGGTATTGGCTCTTCCTGTGGACAGTTTGCTAGCTTCTGTGAAGTCCCTTTTTTTTTTTTTTTTTTTTTTTTTTTTTAGTGTATAATTCCCCATATCTTCCCCTCTCCTTTGTTCCTAAGGGCAGGACAAAGGGTGAAAAATGCCTGGATGGCTCGGGGCTGCTGCTGACTCCCCCTCACCTATGTGTGTCTCTGCCACCCCATCCCCCTTTTCCTGGAGGCAGGCAAGGGATGGAGAGCATCCAGAGTGATGCAGGTGTGCTGCCGTCTGCCCGCCATTCTGTGTCCTCCTTCACCCCCTGTCTTTCCACATTCCTTGTTCCCTGTCCAGGAAAATGAAAATATGCTGTCCTGGACCCCCCCTTCCCAAGATAGCGCTGACCCCGCGGTCTAGGATCCCTTTTTCCAGCCTTACTCCTTCTTTCCCGAACCCTAAGCCCTCCCTTCCCCTCAGTAACTCACTCCTCCTCCGGTTCCACCCCTTTCTCAGGATGCTCCACCTCTGGGGGCTGTGCCTTTTCCACCGTGGGTAACACCCCCTCTGGGAAAGGCAAAACTGTAACCCGAGCTCCAAAGGTCTGCATTTCATCATCAACCCATAAAGTGACGATGTACATATCTTCAGGACAGGATCTGAGGCTGAACACTAAGAACTCTGCCCCTTTGTAAGAGGAGATCAAAGAACTGCCCCCTTCCTAAAAGAAAATTAAGAACTGGAAGAGACTGAACTAAAAAAACCTTTATGTTTGTATTAACTACCACCACTGCTTAATTTATCC